CCCTGTGCCTCACATCACCCCCCCTGGTGCCTCCCAGTCCATCCCAGTTTCCCCTCCCAGTCCATCCCAGTGCCTCCCAGTTACTTCTCCGTCCACCCTCCCGCTTTCCTTCCAGTCCATCCCAGTTCCCTCCCAGTCCCCCTGATGCCTCCTGTGGCACATCCCAGTTCCTCCCAGCACCCCCCACGCCCCCCCAACCCATCCCAGTCCATCCCAGTGCTTCCCAGTCCCTCCCATTGTCCTCCCAGTGCCCACCTTGGTCCTCCTGGGCCAAGCCATTACAGCTACCCGCCTCTATCTCACCTGGGTTGTGCCCCACATCCTCCCCAGTGCCCCCCAGTGCCCCCCAACCCACCTCAGTTCATCCCAATGCCCACCTTGGTTCTCCTAACTGTCACAGTTACCCACAACCTCCCCTGGGTTGCACCCCACATCCCCCCCAGTGCCCTCTCAGTCCATCCCAGTGCTTCCCAGTCCTCTCCCAGTGTTTCAAAGTGCCCCCCAGTGCCCCCCCAACCCACCAGAGTCCATCCCAGTTTCCTCCCAGTGCCCACCTCAGTCCTCCTGGGCCAAGCCATTACAGTTACCCACCTCTGTCTCACCTGGCTTGTGCCCCACATCCTCCCCAGTGCCCCCCAGTGCCCCCCAACCCACCTCACTTCATCCCAGTGCCCACCTTGGTTCTCCTAACTGTCACAGTCACCCACCCCCACCTCCCCTGGGTTGCACCCCACATCCCCCCCAGTGCCCTCTCAGTCCATCCCAGTGCTTCCCAGTGTATGAAAGTGCCCCCCAGTGCCCCCCAACCCACCAGAGTCCATCCCAGTTTCCTCCCAGTGCCCACCTCAGTCCTCCTGGGCCAAGCCATTACAGTTACCCACCTCTATCTCACCTGGGTTGTGCCCCACATCCTCCCCAGTGCCCTCCCAGTCCTTCCCAGTCCCCCCCTAGTGTATCCCAGTCCCTCCCAGTGCCCACCTCGGTGCTACGGGCCAAGCTGTTGCAGCTACCTGTCTTGGGTTACGTCCCACATCCTTTCCATTCCCCTCCCAATCCTTTCCAGTGCTCCCCAGTCCCTCCCATTGACCTCCCAGTCCCTACTTCGGTCCTCCCAGGCCAAGCTGTTATAGTTACCCACCTCTGCCTCACCTGGCTTGTGCCCCACACTCTCCCCAGTCCCTCCCAGTGCCTCCCAGTCCCTCCCAGTGCCCACCTTGGTCCTCCTGTGCTGCGTCGTTGTAGTTGACCTGCTTTCGGACACGCTTTCCCTTGCCCAGGTTGCGTGCCAGGTCCTCCTGCTGCTGCTCGTAGTGGTGCCTCAGCAGCTTCTCCCAGTAGTCGGGGTCGACGTTTTCCTCCTGCTTGATGATCTCCCGCTCGATCTCCTCGATCTGTGGGCACAGAAATGGGGCTGTGTGGTTCACAGTGCTCTCAGTGCTGCCTTCGTGTCCTCAGCGCCGGTGTTTCCATCATCCCTGCTGCCCTCACAGCTCCATTCCCATCCCTGCTGCCCTCACAGCTCCATTCCCACCCCTGCTGCCCTCACAGCTCCATTCCCATCCCTGCTGCCCTCACAATCTCCATTCCCACCCCTGCTGCCCTCACCATCTCCATTTCCATCCCTGCCATCGCCCTCACCATCTCCATTCCCACCCCTGCTGCCCTCACCATCTCCATTTCCAGCCCTGCCATTGCCCTCACCATCTCCATTCCCA